GGAGGGGGATAAATTCAAAGCAAACCTCCAATAATTAGATTCTAAGCATGGAAAATCATAACAAATTTATACATTTTCCTTATATAGAATATAATTATTATTATACCTCTTATAATCAGGGTTGTCTCCTGTTCAAGTAAATATGGTATTTACCACATGCTAGTGTTCACTGAATGAAACAAATTAGTTTTCCTCCCTTCACAGAAGGAATTCAGCATTTAAGTTGGGAGGGGTGGGGAGGAGGCAGTAGCACAGCATGGGAAGAAGTGGCAGTAGTAGCATCACCAAGAGCTCAGGGCACCAGGTGCATTTGACTAGTCAATATGAAGGGCACAGTTTGGCACTGGCAGGGGGAGGTCAGTACATATGCATGCATGTTAGGCTGGTAGACCAGAGCTGATTACAAACTGGGAGTATAGCTGAGCAAACTTGGAACAAAAGCCCAGCGAGCCATCAGGAGCAGGGATGGAGGGGATGCTTGGAGTATCACGCACAGATACACACAGTAGACCAGCCAGATCACACAGTAAACTTGTCAGCTACCCAGTGCCACACAAATTGGCACTGATGTTTGACTCAACAGACAGGTAGGCACCACACAGAGACCATCATTGCAAGAGCAGGCTGAGGGAGCTATGCTTTTTTCTTTTTATACTGAATGTGTAGTGAGCCTTTTAGCAGCAGTTGGATTTGCCAAGTGGCCCATGTCTTGCAGACTGTTATAGCTGTCTGTGTTACAGGAAAACTATCACAGGGCCACAGGGAGATTCTCCACACCATGCTTGCTGGCTAGCATGGTGTGGAGGGAGATGCACCAAAGTGAGAGACATCCTGACCATGGCTTTGCACTTCTGCTTTACATCATTAAGGAGAAAAGCTAATATCAATTGCCCATTTTGCAATTCAGTTAACTAAAAGTTAAACAGGACACTGCAACCATTGGTAGCATAGAGCTCTGATCTCAGATATAAACAGCCCACACCTCATTCTCTTTGTTGTTTTGAACTCTTTGAATTTGTCTTAGCTATATGCTTGCCATGCTGGTTTTAAAGGGCTCGGACTACTAGACAGAACTTGGTTCTAGAGCAAAGACTAAAATCTGATATCAGTATTCCACCTTTGTCTCCAGTAGTGCAGTATTTCTTTTTAGGGGCTGGCTCACACAGGAGAATTACATGCTTCCTCTGCAGTGAGTGCCTTCTTCAGCTTGAGTGGTGGAGGTCTGAGCTATAGATCTAAGAGTCTTGAGTTCATACACTTGTGAATCATGTACTTTGAGGAGGAGGGGAAGACTAATTAAAAGAAAACAAGGAGCATTTGTTCTTTTACTGCCTCTTCCAAAACCTTCCTGTATTTGGTTGACTGCAAGGCTCCTTTGTAATGCAAACCTGTGAAGAGAATGAAATACCATTACATGTGCATTTTTCTAATGGCATTTACTAATTCAGGCAGAAGGCAAGGTAGGGTGGCACAGACTAGCACAGACTAACCTCAGGTTCCACTCTGCCTTGCCTTCAACTATCTATTTATTAATTCTGCAGTTTTAATGTATTCTCAATGAAGGTTTTGGGAATGCAATGTATATTTATAGGTATCCCTTTTAAGTTAGCAGTTATTATGGGGACTGAAGGAAGTAAGGGAATTGCAACACAGCACTGCGTACTTTAACCAGGCTTGCTTTGTGAACCCATTTGACTTGTGACCCAAAAGTTTTTGTAAATCTTTTTCCTTTGTAAAGACAATGAGAAGCTCCATTTCCCCAATATATTCTCTTTTCTCATCTCTGTCCTCCCACTTCTGTCCAGCTCTCCCCTCAGCCAGCTATACACACAGGTGACAGGTGTGTTTTCCAAGAATTTCACAGGCAGAAAGCAGCTATGCAGTATGTGTTACCAGAAAGTCAGATCTTCACAAAGAAAGTCTGTTCCCATTTACAGTGCAAAACACTGCAGTTCAATGCAGAATGTCCACAATGCAGAGTACCATTTGTAATGACTGTTCCTAATCAGAACTGATACTGTTGTTTCACCTTTATTGACATCATTTCTCTCTCTCTCGGACAGGCCCTCCTAATTAGCTTTCCCCCTCGTTTTCACTTCTGTGGTTTTATGTTTCAAAAGTGTAGTCCATGAAGGTCACTTCCCTCCTTAAAGTCATGACACCTGTGGGGGATAAAAATGCGGGGGGTATTTATTTTAGATAAGTAAAATAAACAAAACCTGGATTATCCAATTATTGTTTATCCAGGAAGTGGGTAAATCCAGTTCCTAAATATTTTGCTACTTAGCTGTGCCTTCCCTCACATTTATTATCTGCCAAAACTAGCATGTTTACAAGCAAACAAAATATTGAGAAGTCCAATCAACAATATATTAAGAAATGTGCTTTTAGTAAGCTTGGAAAATAGGAGCCTGTGTTTGGCAAATAAGTTCATTTGAAAATATCCCTGAGGGCTTAAGTGGGTGACAGAAAAAAAAATCCATTTATTTTTTCCCTTGGATTTAAATGCGAGTTGATTAATGATGAAGGTACCTTTTATCAATGAGTTTAGCTTCTCTGATACTTTTTTCCCTCTGTATGGATGTGGCAGCTTGTGGGAAAACAAGAAAGGAATAAAGTTTTCAATGACAAATAACTACAGCATGGTATAAATAAATAAAATTATATATATATAATTATATATAAATATAATCAGGATCTGCTCAGAGTGATCTGAGACCAGTATATTACATGTTGGTCATTGGGCACATCAACATGCGCTACTAGTGGAATGTAATAAGCTCCGGCACAGTTCATGCCAAAGTTTATTGCTCCTGGGTGCAGCGTTGCCCTGTGCACCCAGCGTTGCAGTATGTTTAGCTGGGATGGAACAGCTCCAGCTGGCAGGGGACCCCAGGGATCAGCCTGCCAGCCCAGGGCTACTCTGTCCTGGCCCAACTGGCTGTGGAGGGGCTGGCTGGAGCATGAGGGTGCTTCAGTGCAGGGCTAGCCAGCAAGCAGCCCCTGCACTGAAGGACCCTTGTGCCTCAGCCACATCTACACGTGTCGGGCAGTACTATTCTATGACAGCGTTTATTAGTTTACTGCAGCCTAATAGGGCTGCATGTGTAGATGCTGAGGCTTTACTGCGGAGCTAATTAGTCCGCTCTGCAGTAAACGTCTCATGTAGATGTGCTTGTTGGCTTCAAACAGGCATTCATTTCTGGCAGGGACAACTTTTGAGAAATGTCCTCAACTAGAAATCACTCTGGGAGAGGGAACAGTATGAGTGTTCAGCCTACAGCTGCCCTCTTTTCCCTGCTCTCTGTACCTTCTGCAGACCCATGATATGTCTGGGGAAGGGATGGGGAGCGTTCTAGTCTTAGCGGACTGGAGTAGAAGGACAATGTCCCTCCCACCCCCTGTTTCTCAGACCAGGGACCCCTGCAGGGTTGTGGGCATGGGATTTGAAGCTGCCACGCGGTGGGGGGAGCTTTCCTATGTGTGGCACTTCAAGAACCATGCTGCACAGCCCCACATGTAGATTTGCAGCACCGGCGTTGAAGTGCTGAGCAGGTAAGAAGACTCTCCCTCTTCCTCCCCGCCCCCAACCATGTGGTACTTCAGAGCTTGTCTCTGCAGCCCTGTGTGGGGGTGTAGGTGCAGTGCTCTGCATCTGGGGCACTGGTGCACTGGTGGTCTACAAGCATTTGTTCTTGCTGGAGCAGTGGTTTTCAATCTGTGGTCTGTGGCCCCCAAGAGGTCCACAGGCTATGTCTAAGAGGTCCAGAAAAAATGACTATGGTGAATCAAAAGTATGCAAATACCCACATTAACAATTTGGAAGAGGTCCACAGCTTCACTCAAAATTTCCAAAGGGGTCTTTACCTCCATTAAAATTTTTAGGGGTCCACAAATGAAGAAAAAGGTTGAGAACCAGTGTGCTAGAGAAACACTTTCTCAAGGGAGATATTCCACATTGACATTTGGAAGATCTTCTAGAAGGGGCATGTTTCCCTTAAGAGAAATGGAACGAATGGTGATTGACCCAGTATCAATGTAATGCCTGTATAATATATGGCTTCTGTTTGAGGAAGCCCTGATTTACACTAAATTAGATGAGATCAGAATCTGGCTATTCATATGTATTTGGGAGACTTGGAGACTACGTGGGGTGGCTCAGAAGAATGACAATGAAATGCAGGGTTTTTCAACTTGAGGTTGCCAACTCAGTAGAGACTGAACTATGCTAGTTCTTGTTGGTTCTTTCTGTAGGCTATTTATGCTGTGTAGCTTCAAACAACATGGCAATCAGCTTAATGAAACTACTTGGAAAGCTAGCTATATGAAAGGAGTTAGTGTGGCTTCAATTTAGTTCCTTATCCATAAGTGTCCACATAATATTTGGCACTAACTCAAAACCAGAATGAAAGGCCTGAGGGCTGATTGAAGAAACATCTTGCTACTTAGCTGGTTCCTCTAGATTGGGGTGCACCAACAGGACAGCATGGCAGAATCACACACTGCTGTGTGGATTTTCTGTGAAAATGGGAGTCCTGCTATCTCAAGAACCTGTTACCCTGTCACCACTCGTGAAATTATAGTTGCTTTGTTAAAATAAAAATGTTAGTGTCCAGTGCCTCATCAGGAAACAGTCTGTTGCATAGCATTGTGCAACAAAGAGACTCATGAGCCAGAAGTTTAACTATTAGTTTTCAGGCTGTGGGCCCCCATCCTGTTTTCTGTCATTGATTCTTGAAGAATGATGATCAGAGGGAGGAGAGTAAGTTGTAAATAAAGGTCCCTTTTCAAATTAAAAGTTTAAGAGAATAATTTTTTGCTGTAAGCTTAGCACATCCTTTGATTTTTCTGTCACTGAACATTATCACAGAGTTGTATTTTTAACATTTATTTTAATGCAGTCTTGTTAGCAGCACTTTGACACAAAATGTTGCTGAAGTGTATATGTATATATGTCTGCTTCTGACCTTATGTTGGTTTTTTTGTGGTTATTTCTAAAGGTGTGTGATAGAAAAGGCTGCTGGTGGACAGACTGTGTTCAAACTCACAATCTCTGAGAAAGAGACCATGTTTTATTATCGCACAGTAAATGGTTTGCAGCCACCAATAAAAGTAATGACATTGGGGAGAATTCTTGTGAAGAAATGGATTCATCTTAGTGTACAGGTGAGTGAAGTAAAAAACATTTACTAGCTGGTTAAATACAAAAATCATGTAAGAGTAGCATATCTGAACCTAAGATATGAGAACAATATTAATCAATTAACACTGGTAAATGTTAGGTTCAAGTCCCATGTGGGGGAATTGAGGGCCAGATTTTGAAAGTCACTGTAAAGACGCATTGTGCTGTAGAGATTAGTCACAGCTGCGCACAGCCAGATGAGGAAACGACTTAAAGTTACTTTTTCAACCCAAAAGCATGATCCTCCAACACTTAAGGTAAAGGACAACTTTTTTTTTTATATATATACCTTATGTGTGGAAACGGTGAACTTGCTGCTGAGAAACAAGGCTGGCCCACTTGCTTCCACCCTGTAGATTATAACATCTTGAAAAATATTGTGTAGTCATATTTTGGTGTGTGCCAAGGGACACTTTAAGGATTTCTGCCACAAGCATGCTCCTGAGAGTGGCATTGGGTGTTTCCAACACTACTCTAATAGTGATGCTTTTTTCAGCATGCAGTACTTACTTCTAAAAGGCAAGTTTCTACTCAAATATATGCAAAGGTGACAATCCCAGCTTAAGATATGTAGATGCTTTGAGTATTCCTATTGCTTCAAAGGAACTCCTATAATTATAGTTTGTGAAGGTAAGCATGTGCAGGAGTCACTGTAGCATCAGGATCAAAGCAGATATGTTACAGCACTGTGAAACTGTGTGCATGTCTACACAGGACTTTTACTGTGGAGCTGACTAATTAATTCCTCAGTAAAACATCACTTTCTACTGACTATTAAGTTGCAGTAGACTAATAAACACTGCCACAGGGTAGTCTGGTTAAACACAAGTAGTATCCTGTGGTGGTGTTTCATGATGGGGCTGGCTTGGAGATGAGAGTGCTTCAGTGAGGGGGCTGCCGTGTTGGAGCACCCTTGTGCCCCAACTAGCTGCTCTGCAGCATGTTGAGCTGGTTTGGAGCAGCCCTGGGCTGGCAGGGCATCTGAGGGGTCAGCCTGTCAGCCCAGGGCTGCTCCGACGGGGCCCACCACATACTGTGGAGCAGCTGGCACAAGGATGCTTCAGCGCAGAAGCTGCCTGCCAACTAGCCCCACACTGAAGCACCCACATGCCTTATCCTGTCCCTCCACAGTGTATGGAGCCTGGTCGGAGCAGCCCTAGCTTGGCAGGCTGAACCCCTGAGCTCCCCTTCAAGCCCAAGCTGATTTGACCAGGCTCAATGTGCTGTACAAAGATGTGCCCTGTATGTCCTACTCTGTATTGAATGGTATTGTATGTCCTGCACAATATTGAATGGAATATGCCACACACAATTATAAAGATGCACTCCATGCATCTTAAAAGTTTGCTTTCCCCTTGGCATGTCAGCTTTTTAATAATTATCCACTGAGGATCAAACAAAACTGGCTTTATATTAAAAGCTAAATTGTATTTACAAAAATCATTAAACAAATAAAGAAGAAATTAAAATACTTTCAGTTATTTGCATGTCTTACAGTTCCCAGCAGATAAGCTGTTAAATTCTGTTTGCAAGCCAAGTTCAACCAAGAATTAAAATCACCAATTATTAGGTATTGAAATGTTTACCTTCTCCTTCATTCATTTCTTTTGTCTGGTCTGTTTAAACTTACTTGGTTTACAGCACTATCAAAACTATTTTCTCTACTTTTTTTGCAACTGATAAATGGTATTGACTGTGATTTGGGAGTTTTAGTGCTGATCTTGTCACTCTCAGAAATATCCAAGCTGTCCTCTTAATTTTTTTTTGCAGTTGTCTTTTTTCCCAAGATAACAGCATGCTGGTGTGAATAAGTTTTTGGCTGTTGTATTAAAAGAGTGACCTTAAGGTAGAACTAATGAACTTTACACTTCAGACACTTGGAGGGTGCTACATTACTGCTGATGTTGTCAGTCACATTTTGTCTAAGCCTCAGAAGCTGCTAAAGGATGGGATAGCAAAGTGAAGAGCAAAGGGGCAAGATGTTTTATGAAAATGTTTCAAATTGAATAACGCCCCTTTCCTTAGTTTAGGTCTTTGTTTCTTCTGGGCAGAGCCTTCTCAAGTGCACTTACAGGAATGTAGCCTTTGCTGCCCTCGTTTTTAATAAAGAGTTGCAGCCTGTGAAGATCTATGGAGACTGTAGCTTTAGTCCTCTATCCGGTTGCTGAGATCAGGAGATAATCCTGTATAACGTGACTGGTAACATCTGTAAGCCATCACTCCCTACCAACAAAGATAAAGGCTGCAGTCTATGTATTGCAGATATGATATGGCTGCTGAACTCCAGGCCAAGGGGCAATGAAGCTTACTTTTGGTCAAATATTTTATGCAGTCCCTACTTTAGATAGTTCTCAGCAACCTGATTAAAGGCACTACACAAATGATCAGTCTCAGGTGCCTGTGCAAAAAAAATTAATATTAATATGGAAGAGACTTTGTTAATATATTTATTAAACCAATGACAATACGCAGCAGGGCCTGGATGTTTCCAGAAACCTTAGCTGATTCAAGCCTTGTTCTTAATACAAAATAGGCATGGGCAGCCTCTGTGTGGAGAAGACAGGCAGCACAGTAGGAGATCAGGCACGAAAGAGTAAGCAAAGCAGCAGATTGGACAGGGGAAGGAGATCATAGTGGCCCTTGGGTGAGGATTCTGGGCTAATTTGTGACATGCTTGCCTCACTATTCTAAGTAATATGAAACCACAAATTGTGTTATGTTCAATTGGATTTTAACTCAGGAACATATCTGTGTTTTGTAGAGAAGACAGGTCCTAGGACTGATTTTAGTGTTTATTCATGTAGAAAAAATTGGATGCATTCCTCTATCCAGCTTAATTGTTAAGGTGTTTATTATGCATTGCAATGCTCACCCACTATCTATTCAATTGGTGATTCGAATCACTGTCCCAAATTGATTCGGCCTAATCTGATTCAGAGATTTGGCTGCTGCCTAATCTCTGAATCACCCAGGCCCATCCCCTACTCGCTCTCCCAGCCCTGGCAATGGCTACTTCTTCCCCCCCAGCTCCTGGCACTTTGAAAGAAAAAGCCCCGACTGATCGGGTGCTGCCAGGTGGGGGGGGCGATCCCCACTGCCCCCCACTGCCCTGTGCTACATAGGGGGGTCTGCACAAGCCCCCAACCCCTGCCTGCTGTCCCAGCACCCCCATGGCTGCCCCGCCTGCCCCAGCTTTGGCCCTTTAAGAAAAACCCGCCCTGGTCTCACCAGTTCCTGCTGGGTGGGAGGCGATCTCCACTGCCCCCTGCTGCCCTGTGCCATGTGAGGGGCTCTTCCACATGGCAGAGCTCCCCATTCACTGTGGGGCAGTGAGGGGCAGCAGGGATCACCACCCCTGGCTGGGAACACCCAGTGAGTGGGGGCTTTTTTTAAAAGCACTGGGAGCTGGG